TGGTTCCATTATCCATCAGTTACCGAAGTCATCACTAGATTCCATTATCTCCTGCCTCAGCCCCGAGATTCAAAGTCACTCAACCCTACGGTTTCTGTCTCCTTCGCAGTCCTTAAATCCATCTCCTTTTCACCATCCTGCCCCAGTTTATCTATTTGGGGAGTGGCATTGAGGGAGGAAGAGGGATGTGCATCAGAACCACCTGTATAATGTTCTTAAGGAAACATACAAGCCCAGCATGGTGGCTCACACCTGTAATCCTAATTCTTTGGGAGGTGAAGGCAGGATGATCGCTGGAGGCCAAGAGTTTGAGACCAGCCTGGGCAACACAGCAAGACCCCATCTCTACAGAAAATTTAAAAAATCATTTGGGCATGATGGTGCATGCCCTTCGTCCCAGCTGCTTGGGAGGCTGAGGCAGGAGAATTGGTTGAGCCTATGGGTTTGAGGTTACAGTGAGCTATCATCGCACCACTGCACTCCAGCCTAGATTACAAAGTGAGGTCTCTCAAAAAATTAAATAATAAACAAACAAATAACCATTATATACCCTGCCCCATCTCCAGATATTCTGAACCTGTATACACCCTTCCTTATCTTCACTGTCCTTAACCCATTTTCAACACGGCTGGCAGAATGATCCAATGATCCTTCAAAAATGCAACCTCTCTGTTTAGCCTTTCAGTGAGTCTCTAGGATGAAAGTCCAAACTCCTCTCAAACCCGTCACCTTAGGTTCTTGCCCACAGCTTCCACCTCATCTGCTGCCACTCCCTATGGATATCGCACACTCAATCCTTATCAAATGGTAGTACTTGCTGTTCCTGGAACACGCCTTCTTTCCTCACCTTAGTGTTCTCTTCTCTGTGGATATCCTCTGTGATATCTTTCCACTAGATAGTCACTTTGTTCAAAACGCCTCTCCTGACTTCTCTAGGCAATTAGTTATTTCTGTCACAGGTGTTGGAGCCAGAGCAACTCCATTTTGAATACAGGCTGAGACCTACTGGGCTGTATTGCCAGGTTAGGTATTCCTAGTCACAGGATGAGTTAGGAGGTCAGCACAAGATATAGATCATAAAGACTCAGCTGATGAAACAGGATGTGATAAAGAAACCAGCTGGCCAGGCACGGTGGCTCAGCAGACAGATCACGAGGTCAGTAGTTCGAGACCATCCTGGCCAACATGGAGAAACTCAGTCTCTACTAAAAAATATACCGGCCGGGCACGGTGGCTCACGCCTGTAATCCCAGCACTTTGGGAGGCTGAGGCGGGTGGATCACGAGGTCAGGAGTTCAAGACCAGCCTGGCTAAGATGCTGAAACCCCGCCTCTACCAAAAATATAAAAAAATTAGCCGGGCGTGGTGATGGGCGCTTGTAATCCCAGCTACTCAGGAGACTGTGGCAGATAATTGCTTGAACCCGTGAGGCGGAGGCTGCAGTGAGCCGAGATCTCCCCACCGCACTCCAGCGACACAGCGAGACTCACGACACAGTGAGACTCCGTCTCAAAAAAGAAAGAAAAAAAAAAACAAATTTAGCCGGGTGTGGTGGCATGCGCCTATAGTCCTAACTACTCGGGAGGCTGAGGCAGGAGAATCGCTGGAACGTGGGAGGCAGAGGTTGCAGTGAGTCAAGACCGTGCCATTGCACTCCAGCCTGGGTGACAAAGCGAGACTCCGTCTCAAAAGAAAAAAAAAAAAAAGAAACCAGCCAAAACCCACAACAACCAAGATGGTGATGAAGGTGACCTCTAGTTGTTCTCACTGTTTATTATACACTAATTATAATGCATTAGCATGATAAAAGACACTCCCACCAGTGCCATGACCGTTTACAAATGTTACAGCAACATCCAGGAGTTATCCTATGTAGTCTAAAAGGTGGAGAAATCCTCAGTCCTGGGAAATCCTTGCCCCTTTCCTGGAAAATTTTCGAATAACCCTCTCCATAGTTAGCATGTAATCAAGAAATAGCCATAAAAATAGCCAACAAGGCTGGGCGCAGTGGCTCACGCCTGCAATCCCAGCACTTTGGGAGGCAGATGGATCACTTGAGATCATGAGTTTGAGACCAGCCTGGCCTACATGGCGAAACACCATCTCTACTAAAAATAAAAATTAAAAAATTAACTGGGTGCGGTGGCACGCGTCTGTAATCCCAGCTACTCCGTGGGCTGAGGGAGGAGAATCGCTTGAACCCGGGAGGTGGAGGTTGCAGTGAGCCGAGATCATGCCACTGCACTCCAGCGACACAGCGAGACTTCAGCTCAATTAACAAAAAAAAGAAAAAGAAAAAGAAAAAGCCACCAGTAGCCCTCAGTGCTGCTCTGCCTATGGAGTAACCACTCTTTTATTTCTTTACTTCTCTAACAAACTTGGTTTCACTTTATGGGCTTGTCCTGAATTCTTTCTTGTGCAAGATCCAAGAACCCTCTTTTGGGGTCTGGATTGTGACCCTTTCCAGTAACATTTCCTCTTCTGTGTTCCCACAATACTTTGTCCGTATAGTGATTCTGTATTTATTAGTAGATAATTACAAATATTTTTGTTTATACAATGTCTTACCCCCTAAACTGTCAATAGATTTTGTTCAATTTATTTTTATATGCTCTAATATAGAGCCTGGCACATAATGTATATTCAACAAATGTTAACTGAATAAATTTTCAAGGGAATAAGTTTTAATTTCTATCTTTCTGATTGCTTAGTGTTTAATATATTATAAAAAATATTATTCAGGCCGAGCACGGTGGCTTATGCCTGTAATCCCAGCACTTTGGGAGACCGAGGCAAGGGGATCACCTGAGGTCAGGAGTTTGAGACCAGCCTGGCCAATATCATGAAACCCTGTCTCTACTAAAAAATACAAAAATTAGCCGGGCATGGTGGCACGCGCCTGTAGCCAGAGCTACTTGGGAGGCTGAGGGAGGAGAATGGCTGGAACCCGGGAGGCGGAAGTTGCAGTGAGCCGTGATCATGCCACTGCACTCCAGCCTGGGCAACAGAGCAAGACTCTGTCTCGAATAAATAAACAAATAAAAATAAAAACTATGATGCACTTTCAGGATAGCATGCTCTTTGGATCTCTTTAAATAGTGACAGTTTATATTTGAACAGTATCTTTCATTTTTCAAAGCACTTTCCCCCAACATTTTATTATGAAAATCTCCAAATATATGGAGGAAAAATAATTGTAAGTGAACACTCGTGTCGGGACTCAGAAACCGATACCCCAAAATGTGGGGCTTTGACATGTTGAATGGAAGCCTCAAGGTCTCTCTGACCTCACTGCCCTGCACCATCTCTCCCAAAGCACAGGATGAAGTTGAAGTTCCTTTATCTGGCTACGATCCAGACCCACCAAAAGGAACAATTGTTTTTTCTTCCCCTCTCTGTAAGACCAAAAATATAACCACCCGAAAAGATCCTTTCACAAGATAATGTGCAAGTTCATCCCTGTGCCCTGATCCATTCACTTTCCCTAGTCATCCCCTCAACACAATGCCTCTGCTCCTCTCTCCCCAAGTCTGTTTGCCAGGATGGTAGACAAGCTTCTGAACCCCGTCGGGCATGTGTTTCTCCCTGTGCACACGTTAATAAATGCATATGCCTTCTCTCCCATTAATCTGCCTTTTGTGAGATGATTTTTCAGTGAACTTCAGAGGGCAAAGGGAACATTTTTCCCATGGTCCCTATACCCATATATACCCACTACCTAGATTCAAAATCAACATTTTGCTATATTTGCAAAACACTTTTCATAGGCTAATTTTATTATCATCTTAAAAAAAATTTTCTTTTTACAAGTACTACTCCTTGTGGAGCAGGGCTACCCCGTAGGCAGTGTGCTCAGAGTAGCTTATTATCACCTTTTACTTCACCTAATGACTAAGGTGTGATTCTATGTTTTATAGATAAGGAAACTGAAATTGAGGCTTTAATGACTTCCAAGGAGCTTATCTGCCAGAAGTTGTAATCAACTTGTGCCAGTTGATCTGTCCACACCCTCTAGGAGTTAGACACCTCTAGGTCTGAAAAATATTTAGAATATTCCTGTGATGAAAAGTTTGCAATTCCACAACACAGGGGAATCAGCAAAATCATGGGAAAACCAACAGAATACATTTCTAACTCATGAATCATTCAGAGAAGAATCCAGTCTTGGGTTTTCCCTCCCCCTCATCCCATTTCTATTCCTGATTAGTCATCATTTCCTGCCCAGCCTATCTGAGATGTTTCTTCCATCCTTTCTTTTCCAGTAACAGTAACCTGATGCAGGTCTACAGTATCTGTTATCTCAGCTGATTTCCTTTCTGCCTTTTCATGAACCAGAGACATGTGATTTCCAATTAAACCACAGCCCTGACCATATCCTTGCCCAGCTTACAAAACGTCAACGGCTCGAAGCTATCTACCGAGTTAAGCCTACTATAATCCCCCTCCTTCTACACTACAACCTATCCACGCATCTGTCCTCTTACTCCTTAGCTTCCATCTTACATGAATGACTAAGAGTTGTTTCCCCAAATACACCCTTATTTACTTTTTTCATTTATAATTCACCACCGCCCCCACCAAAGTTTCACGTGGGTAAATTCTAGACCTTCACGTCATAGGCCAACTCAAATGCCAATCCTTCTAATGTACCTTCTAGAGATCCCGGGCCTGTTGTCATCTCTATCGCCAATCTTTGGCATTTTGTGGCACTAATCTCAGTCTACCTTGTAGAGCTTTCTGATCTGATTTCCCTTGCCACCTTCTTCTGCTCCCTTTGCCTAAGTGTAACACCTCTGAGGAAAGGGACGCTGTTTTAATCACCGTCGCCTCGCACATAGTCGGTGCTTTATTGTGCTTAATGTCGTTTAACGCAACACATCCTGCCGAGGGGGTCGGAGGCGGACGACTTTTGCTGTATCCACACAGACCCGCGCATGCACACACGGACGCCGTCTGCAACTCTGACAGACACGTGTCCCCTGGGCTACAGCCCTGGAACTGTCTCGGGATTCCCAGCCTGTGGGCGTTTCCATGCTGGCCAGCGGAAGGGGACGCTTTTTGCATCAGAACTGCTTCAACGGATACCTCTTACTTTAGACCGCCTACAGATTCTACCCGATAAATCAGCCTAAGCTCTGCTTCCTTTTAAAACAGGATTACGCCGGGTCGAGGGAGCCCGGCGTGGCCGCGCAGTGGCCGGGTCCCGCGGATCCCCCTCCACCTCCCACTTGGTAGCGCCCGCTTTGTCAGCGCGCAGCGCTAGCCGAGCGGCCTGCAGCTCTTCGCCAGGTCTCACAGCAGACGGTGCCGACGCAGCGCTCTGGCGCCTCCCTCTCCGGCTCTGCTGCCCGGGATTTCCCCAGGACCTGCGCCGCGCGAGAAGGAGCCTGGGAGCATCCGCCCAGACTGCTCGGACAGTCGGCTCGACTCGCTGCCCTCGGCCCCAGCCGGGCTCCGCGTTGGTGGCGGCGGTGCCCGGCATGTTTCATAGTCCGCGGCGACTCTGCTCGGCCCTGCTGCAGAGGGACGCGCCCGGCCTGCGCCGCCTGCCTGCCCCAGGGCTGCGCCGCCCGTTTTCCCCGCCGGCGTCTGCTCCCAGGCCCGCATCCCCCAGGCTGCTGGCGGCGGTCTCGGCGGCCTCGGGCGCCGCGAGGTCGTGTTCCCGAACAGGTGAGTGCACCCCATTTCTGGGCGGAGAACGCCACGGCCGCCAACGCTCGGCCGCCACCTGGAGACAGCGCGGAATGAATGGGAAGCCCGGGGCTGCAGTTCGTGGGATCTGGCCTGAAACCTTCCCGGAGCAACCTTCTCTGTTCCCTTTTTCCTCTTTCCCTGTCCCCCGACTTGCCTGGGGCTTGCATCAAAGCTGGTAAGAAATGGGAGACTGTATTCAGGTTCTCGCTTGACCCTTGGAGGCCGTGCTTTCAGAATTTCTTGCTCTTGACCTACGTTAAATTTCCCCCTTCCGAGGCTACGAGTTACTATTTTGGTTACACTTTTTATTGCACGGAAATTAACAGAAATTTTTATGGAAAAAAATCTACATGATGCTTATTTGTTCATATGGCTTTCGTGGTCTAGATATTAAGTTTTTTAAGTCGTGATAACACATTGATTCATTTAACGTTTCTTTTTCTTTCTTTTTTTTTTTTTTTTTTTTGAGACGGAGTCTCACTCTGTCACCCAGGCTGGAGTGCAGTGGCAGGATACCGGCTCACCGCAACCTCCGCCTCCCGGGTTCAAGCGATTCTCCTGCCTCAGCCTCCCGACTAGCTGGGATTACAGGCGCCCGCCACCACGCCTAGCTAATTTTTGTATATTTAGTAGAGACGGGGTTTCACCATTTTGGCCAGACTGGTCTTGAACTCCTGACCTCGTGATCCACTCACCTCAGCCTCCCAAAGTGCTGGGATTACAGGCGTGAGCCATCGCACCCGGTCATTTTACGTTTCTTTGGATTTTTTTTTTCTTTTTTGGAGACTTCAACTCCTAATACTTAACATAATTTTGTGTCCTGTGTACCTAAGATCTTGTAAAAGTGAGGCCTTAGTTTCACCAACAGCTGTTTTTATACATCATAGTAATTACCCTTTTTTTTCCCCTTTTTAGCCACCTCTGTTTCTGCCTGGGCACACATTACCGTGGCCACAAATTACATACAAATTAATTATACTTTTAACATTGATAAATTTTTTCTTTCAAAACTAGGCAATACATAGCATTTTTTTTTTTTTCCGAGAGGGAATTTTGCTCTTGTTGCCCAGGCTGGAGTGAAATGGTGCGATCTTGGCTCACCGCAACCTCCGTCTCCGGGTTCAAGCAATTCTCCTGCCTAAGCCTCCCGAGTAACTGGGATTACAGGCATGCGCCACCACGCCTGGCTAATTTTTGTATTTTTAGTAGAGATGGGGTTTCTCCATGTTGGTCAGGCTGGCCTCGAACTCCCGAACCCAGGTGATCCGCCCGCTTCCGCCTTCCAAAGTGCTGGGATTACAAGCGTGAGCCACCGCGCCCGGCCTATAAAGTTTTAAAAATAGGCCGGGCGCGGTGGCTCACGTCTGTGATCCAGCACCGTGGGAGGCCGAGGCGGCTGGATCACCTGAGGTCAGGAGTTCGTGACCATCCTGGCCAACGGGTGTGGGCGTGGTGGCACTCGCCTGTAATATCCCAGCTAAGAGGCTGAGGCAGGAGAATCGCTTAAACCCGGGAGGCAGAGGTTGCAGTGAACCTCTGGAGATCCCACCATTGCACTCCAGCCTTGGCGACAAGAGTGAAACTCCGTCTCAAAATAAAATTAATAAAAATTTAAAAATGCATATATATAAAAAACGATTATCTGGAATGTGATTGAAGCCAATACTTTAAACTCTATTTGCATTGCTGGCGGATGTTTAGATATTTCCCAAACTAGTATCAAACTCCTGGCCTCAGGCTATCCTCAGACTCTGGAGTAGCGGAGATTTGCAAGTGGAAGCCAACCACGCCCAACTTAGTTGTAAAATTAGGATGTTGAATTGGTTGCTGGATACTCTGAACTATATTGTTCCTTAGAATAAATTTGACAGTTAGATTCCCCACCCCCACCCCCAGTTTCGTAGGAATGTGGCACATTGTGAAATAACTGCCAGAATGGGTATACCACCTGATAACTTTTTTCTTGCTGGAAATTTTAAGAACTACATTGTTAGGTTTGAGGTAGGAAAAGTAAAAGAAAACGAGATGATGTCTTTTGTACCAGCTTTTATCTTAAATTCCCTCAGTCTCAGAGACAGGGTTAGTAGGTGCCTCCTCGTGGGAATACAGTTAGCTTGTGTAAAACAGATAGAGATGGCTGTGTTATCTGAGCAATTACTGTTATCTGAGTAATAACTTATCTGAGTAATAAATATCAGGTCAGATTGGAATGTTGGGCTTTTGACTCAAGAAAGTGTTTAATGAACTTCTTTTAAGAAATCTCCTGAAACCCCCTAGTTTTACAGATTAGGAAATTGAAGGACTTTATGGTACTTAAACTTTTGTAGGCAGTTACTGTAAAGTCTAGACATTTTTCCTGTATCATGCAGTTTTAGCTTCGGCTTGTTGGAAGAAACATGTGCATGCATTGATTCATTCATTGCTTGTTCACTCATTGCTTGTTCACTCATTCCAGATCTTTACAGAATGTCTCACACAATGTAGGTGCTTTATTATAGGAGCTAAAAAGAACATGAGCTTTTTAGTCAGTCCCTAAGGAGTTTACTGCCCAGTAAGAGATGAGATTTGCACAAAGAAATGGCTGTTTAATGAAATGAAACACCTTTTATTCTCTGGACTTGGCAATGGCACAAGGGTGCAGGAAAGCAGGAAGTCCCTTTTAGGCTTCTAGAAGTGGATGGCATTTCAGCTGGCTCTTGAAGCATGGTTAGTATTGGAAGAGATTACTATAAAGCATTTTGTTTGGAAAAAGCAGGCATAAATGCAGAAAGGCATGAGACACAGATGAGGAAGGATGAGAGAAGAGGCACTTTTCAAAATGGACATTGTTTTCCAAAGAGCCTCAGAGCCAGCACTAAGTACTTTTTAATTTTAATTTTAATTTTTTTTGAGACAAGGTCTCGCACTGTTGCCCAGGCTGGAGTGTAGTGGCACCACCTCTGCTCACTGCAAACTCCACCTCCCGGGCTCAAGCAATTCTCCTGTCTCAGCCTCCGGAGTAGCTGTGACTACAGACACACCACTGTGCTGGGCTAATTTTTGTATTTTTAGTAGGAACGGGATTTCAACACGTTGCCTAGGCTCTCTCATCAGCTCTGGTGATCCACCTGCCTTTGCCTTCCAAAGTGCTGGGATGACAGGCATGAGCCACTGCGCCCAGCCTATTAGGTGCATTTTTAAAATGCAGATTCTTAGATCCTACTATAGACCTATTAAGTCTGAGTCATTCATGATGGGCCCTGGATTCCACATAACCAAATGAAATGACAAAAAGAATAACTCCAGATTGTTATTCTATGCCCTCAAATTTGGACATCTGGCACCCATATGTGAGAGAGACATCTAAGGAGCCAAAAACTCCTCTCCACTCCTGAGCCTTTTGATGGGGAGTGGTGAGTCCCAACACCTGTCCACGTTTGCTAGTCAGTTCCTGCATAACTTAATGCCCCTTGGCAGTTGGTGGTTATTGGGAAGATAAGTACAGTCCCTTTGGAGTTATCAGATTCCAGGTTTTTAGAATTAAAAGGTGACCTTGGGGATGATCTCGGTGTTTGGCTTTCTTTTCGCAAGGATAGCAGCCCCCATAAGAAGTAGCAGTTGCCACAGTTACTGTACTGGATGAAACAAACGCAGTTGGAAGTCATCCGTGGGTTTATAAATGCTATCCTCCACATCCCTCCTCAGAGAATGAAGAGTTGGCTGAGCTACTGTTCTCTACCATTAGAACATTTGCTTTTTTCATGGTACAATTTTAAAGGCAAATGCCACCAACTCATTTGAGAAGGCAGCTTTATTTAATATGTCCTTTAACTATGTGAGTCAACTGCTGATGAGAGAAGAAATGGGAAAGCTTGTAATTATCAAGCTGCTATGGAATAAATTGCTTTCCTTGTGGGAAAACTAATGTATGATTTTTCAGTTAGGATTCAATGGCAACAGTTTAAATACGGTGAACTGGGGTTCTTTGGGATTAATAACCATGGCTCCAGATTCACACTCCACACACTTAACATTTGCAAATCATTTAACCTTGCTTGCTGTCTCAACACTAGACTTTACTTTAGAACAAATAAGATGAATTGATAGCAATTTATCCACAAGCTTTGTTGAACAGTACATGTAAAATGCGACATGACTAATTGCAGCGGGAGTTGGAAGAGCAATCGGTATGGCTGAATTTGTCAAGAAACGCTTTGCTTTGAATTAGGTGAAAAAGGAGGGTGCTTTGGAAGGGGACAGATTGCAGGGTGAGGGGGCTAGGCAGAGAAGACCACACACTGCCTGGAAGAAGGTGGAGCATGCAGGAGCTGTAGCAGGCATCTTAGGAAAAGAGGTATAATCAGAATCCTTTGGGACACTTGTTAAAATGCAGATTTCTGGTCTTTCACCCATCTTGAATCAGTTTCCTGTGGAGAAGTCTGGTGGAGTGCATATTTAACAAGTGCCCCAGGGGATTCTTCCAAAAAGATTAGGGAGTATTCCTGAGCTCTGCCCCTCCTTTCCCCAAAGGTACTTATTCCTGGAAAGCTTGCGAAGCTCTGGAGAGGATTCTGGAAGAGCCTGAAGACCTTTGGCTGGGCACAGTGGTTCATGCCTGTAATCCCAGCACTTTGGGAGGCCGAGGCACGGATCACTTGAAATCAGGCGTTCAAGACCAGCCTGGGCAACATGGTGAAACCCTGTCTGTACTAAAAAAAAAAAAAGCCAAGTGTAGTGGTGCACACCTGTACATCCCAGCTGCTTGGGAAGCTGAGGCAGGAGAATCACTTGAACCTGGGAGGAGGAGGTGTCAGTGAGCCGAGATTGCACCATTGCACTCCAGCCTGGGTGATAGAGTAGGAGCAATACTCTGTCTCTAAAAAAAAGAATCTTTGAGCTTGGGGCCTAAGGCAATTCAAGAGACCCCTGAGCAAGAACATTGACCCCCAACAAAAGCAGCTTTAAAACAAATTTGTATATTTTGTCGAGACGGTTTT